CTTTGTTGATATCACCTTGACGGCCCAATGTCGATGAGCTGCGGCCCATTTGGGATACGACGATTTGTCCTGACGATTTGTCCTCTGCCCTTATTGTCCTCTGCCCTTATGGCCCGGACGTGTTTTGATGTGTTGGGATATCCCTGTCAAGATGATTTAGGTTATTTCACGGGCCCCGTGTGCCAATGAGCCACTACCCATTCGGGACGTGAGAGACTCACTCTCTGCTCAATGTCTTAGCGTGAGTTGAATCATCGGGACTGTTCCCACACAGAATAACCTTTTTTTGAGTACCTATTGCCCCAAGTTCATGATAATCCAAGATAAACTCCTTTTATTTTTATTGGGTACCCCCCCAAGATGCAATTAACTAAGTGGGATACGTCCTCTTGGGAGTGTTCTTGACCCCAGAACAAGCACCTACACCTGACTCTTTGGTTATGGGTAGTCTACATAGATATTCTTTTGCGGATATCGGTTTAAGGTGTTTTCGCCCGATCTTATTTGGGCGAACACTCTTAACATATCCTTGTAAGGTTTACTACATGTAGGCTCTCCACATTTTGTGTTTTCTCTTGTTTGTCGCTTTGTTTTATATCCCTCCTTTCCGGTTCCTCCCTTCTCCCAGTCATTCATATGACTCAGAAGAGAGATTTATTTGGAAAAGGGAAGTATACGACGATCGACAAGCTGGCAAATCCTTCTAAAATAAAAGAGAAAAAAACAAATGAAAACAGTTAGTAGGAGCTTATATGGACGTATTTGGAGAAGAGGAGAAGAGGAGAAGAGAGGAAAAGAAGGCTAAGTGCTGCAAAAATCCTAAGGAAAATCCTTAGAAGTTCTTAGCTTCATAAGTTGTATTTTATGTGATTGTTGTATTGAGATATTGGTGAGGTTTAAGAGTTGTAAAGGAGAGGAGATACTCAGCATTGTAGCAAGGATTGAGAGATCCTTTGGGGAGACATTTATAGCATTTTGTAAAAGGGAAAAAGCTAAGTATTGTGCACTTTTTGTATTAAACTTTTCTTTAATCACAATTCTAGTGTGATTTCTTTATTTGAAAAATATTTTGTTGTGTTTCTTTCATGCATTGCGAGTAGTTTTGCTTACCTTTCTCTTGTGATGAATAAGTTGTGAAGGAATAGTAGAATGCTTTTAGAATTGGTTTTCAATCTTTAATGTGATGATTTTCTTTTTGTGTTTCATTAACTTATCATTCTGGCCAAATGATTCTATTGTGAACCCATAGTAACTTGGGGGAGATATAACATGAACAACTAGGAAGATCATGTTGAAATATCGGATATGAAGCAAAAGTACACTATAGGGTGATGAAAATATATAGGGAAATAATCTTTGTTGGGTTCAAACTGAGGTTTAAGGAATTGAAATCACTTTAACCAAGCTTTTTTATGCACTCAGGAGAGGTTAAAGAAGAGAATTGCTTCTATCTGTCACTAGCCACGCTTGCAATCCAAAGTATTTTGTTCCTGCATAGCATTGGATCATTGCAAGAGAGGGTATTTTTATAACTTGATTTTCACCAATTTAATTATATTTTGTAGAATTACTTTAGTAGTTACCAGTAAGATTAGTGGTAATTTGACAGGATTAGTAATCATAACAAAAATTAAATTTATTTCTAGGCTATGAACTAAACCTAGTAAGCTAGAACTTTTCTTAAGTTTAATTGTCTCGCTTCCTGTGGGATCAGTATTCCAGACTAATAAATCTGATATTACTAATACGACACGTATACTTGTGTGAAACCCCAGTGTGTATTGCACATGAACCGAGATGGTATCAAGTTTTTGGCACCGTTGTC